TTGTCATCCGTATCAATAGATAATCAAACAAATAGAAGTACATAAAAAGATTGTATAGTACCTGAAGCAGCCTGACTCGTTTTAATGTTATTCTCCTTGCAGTCAGCACATTCTCCCACCCCCACAACTTCGATGGTCTTTTCATCCCCATGGCAGAAGCTTGTTGCGAATAACAAGTACACGAAGAAGCCCAGAATGGCCCCTCGGCAAAGCGGATGAACCCGCATTGGGACCTTCTTCTAAGGCCGAGCCTTGAAGACAGTAGAGAGGGAGAAAAGGAGAAATGGCCCAAGAATGAAGGGCAAGCTTCAATATACTGAAGCTTGTTTGGTGAGTGTTTAGTGTTAGAAATGTTCGTTATATATAATAATTTAGGCAAGTGATTTTGTGATGATCACACCGACAGTGAACTTAATGTATCTCACGAGGTTTGGTCCATTGATATTGACTACAAGCCCATCATTTAGAAAGAAAAAAATTAGCTGAAAAATGGGAGTTTCAAAGGCCATTATTTTCACTGAATTAACGAGGTTTCAACTGCACAATGTCTTTTTTCCATCAATAAATCTGCTTGTCACCTCTTTGCTTTATGAAATCCATGTTTGCGTTACGAAACTATCGTCAAACCAATTCGTCTATATATTTAACACCATTTCACGTGCAAGTCAAATTCTTTTTCTCATCAAAGGTGTGAATTGAGTACAATTTCACTTGTACACGTTTCACAAACTGGTGGTGATGGTTAGAATTGAATATTTAGTAAAAGTGTGTCGAATGAAAGAAAATGAATTTATGGGAATCTCATGGGGTTATACTACCTTTTAATTATTGAGTTCTAGCAATCCCGCTGTTGGGAAGCAGAAAAGATAAATATCAACTTCCCATGAAATTTCGTTATTTTTCAAAATTAGGGGTGGCCGCGGTTCGGTTCGTTTCTTTTTAGAACCGAACCGAACCAAAATTCTCGGGTATCTAGTAATTGGAACCGTCGGGTCCAAATATAATTATGGAACCGTTCGGGTTCGATTCCGTTCGGTTCTGTACTATAATTAAATTTTTTAACATTTATAACAATATTATATAAATACAACTAATGATACATTCAATGGTTTTGGAATGCCATAGATTAGTGGACTACTTTGTTCAAATGATCGCTACGGTCAAATTTTCGATCGGTAGAGGTCCCAGCTTCGATCGGAGGTCACAGTATCGGCCAATGATTGTATATGTTTTGAAATGTCAGCGAGGCTGCAAGAGTGAGTGCGAGAGTCGAGACAACTTTATGCACTTTAATGTAGGTGTTTAGAGTTATTTAGTAGATTGGATCTTGTTGGGCTAAGAAATGAAACAATAAAATGGGTAATGGGGTCAAAAATTAAAAAATTAGAAATGAAACAAATTATTGAGCCAAAAATTTGGATTTAGAAATTGTTAATTTGTTTAGAAAAAATTAAAATTAAAATAATTTGATTTACTCAATATAAAAAAAATTAGAAAGATTCGATTTTTGGTTTAGAACCGAGAACCGAACCGTACCCGTCGATTTTCAATTCAGATACCCGTTCGGGTATTTAATTTGACAAGAACCGTTGGGTTCGGTTCGGATTCGATTCGATCGATTCGATTCGGGAGATTTGCCCAGCCCTATTCAAAACTATAATTCTGTGCTAGTTAATGATAGTTGGTACCATTAATTTAGAACGCCATATGTGTATGTGCTTATTATTATTGGTTTATAATTATATTATACATACACACTAATAATTTTTGTTGAAGAAAATAAAATAAAATAAATAATTTTTTTCTCGTGCCATTAGAGATATTTAATTTAAACATGGTGTGGAGATTGAAAAATGTCTTGACTTTAAATTTAACTACAAAAATTAATTTTTATTCTATTATAAGTTCTATTACTCAATTGAAGTCTGGAGATGTTGAGGCCGTGGCTCTTTGCGAGGGACATTCCATGGCCAAAAAACTTGGTTTTACGCTTTGATAATCATAGCATAATTCTCTCTTGGTTGTTTGTTCTTGGATTTTCTTTATGTTCCAAAGAGCTCTTTCATTTTTTTTATTTTATTTTTTTTTTTTTTGACATTGTTGCTTTATTGCGATACGTCAGTTATTACTTTTTGCTTATTTACGTGAAAGTTTATATTGTTGTGTCTGATTGTATTCTAACGTTACTTTCTTCCGTTCTTTGCGACGATATGTAATAATGAATTTTCACTTGAGCTTTTGATGAACAAATTAATTTTACTTAGACTATGAAAGTGTCTATATATATATGTGTGTGTGTGTGTGTGTGTGTGTGTGTGAGGGTGTTTGATACCAATTTTTATGGAAAAATGAATTTTAAAATAGTAGATTGATGTAGAATGTGTAGATGAAAAATAAGAAAAAGTTTTTTATTTATGAAAAATGTGTGGTTAAAAAGAAGAGTTAGAAAAATGTATTTTGATAAAAATGAGAATCAAACGGGGTTGGGTGTGTAAAACTGAGTATTTATGAATGCAATCGATTCGATTGAATTATTTATTTATTTATTTTATCTTGCGTGTGGTTGCACCAAACAAAGTTAGTGAATTGATATGTTAATTATAAATTAAGGTTGAATGAGAAGCACCGAAATGTGCATGTAGGTTGGAAAGTTGAAAAAGATACTCCAACTAAATAGGCCCCCATTTGGTTCTAATTTTTCAAGTTAAAAAATCAGTTTTTTGATCATTATTTATCATAGTCAGCCGTCATTTTTAATCTCTTCACTTACAGATGGGACTCACATTTCAAAACTAATGATAAAAAATTCAGTTCTCATAATTAGCACCAAACAGGCTCTAAGTATGCATTGCTTAAATACTTTATTGGTGGAAAATTGCATTTCCTAATTGCTTTCTTTTATTGGAGTTGGTCATGTGTACGAGGAATTTAGGGTTGTTATAAGTTTTATACTTATCATCAATATACCACAAATTTAATTCTTAGTCCGACCTTTTGAGAAGCTATAGAAAGTAGAGACAAAGTTGTTTATAACAATGTATTAACTTAGATTCAATAATTATGTTGACAATTCGAGTTTTTAGCAAGATAATGATGTTCCAAGATTTCTTTGAAATTGTTGACATTCTAAGTGATTTGACTAATAAATAAGCATCATTGATTGCTAATGATAATTATCATATCATCTTCCCCAACAACACAAAAACAAATTAAAACTTATATTCCATAAAAAAAAGTGAGTTAAATATGCTGAAAAAAATGCAGAACTTGGAAAATTTTTAGGGTAATACTAAAATAAACAACTTTGTAATCATGAATTCATCATATGATACAAGTACATTTTTGTATATGTGTGTTTAAGAAAAGGTTTTTGTATACATGACATTCAGATTTAATTACTGCAACATCTTTTGTAAGAAGACGTTCCTTCTTTCGATGTAATGGGATTAGTTTGTCGAGTTCTTTAGTTCAATACGTCATTTTTGTATGTTCAAATATAGAGTGGGGATAAAAGTCTAGGGCATTAATTGGGGAGCCATTACTTATGGAAAAAAATTGTGGACAACATTTCTCCATCCAACTATATTCCTCATGGACTTCAACACAGGTTTTTGTCATTCGTATAGAAAATGGCTTCACATACACTATATAGACACTCACATGGGGGTGTACCACATGTGAATAAAATTTTATCAAAAAAAAAACCACTCACTACCTATTGTATCTATTCTGGAGGAGTTTTGTCACCCTCCCTTTTCTTTTAAGCTTTGGTTTTTGGTCGTAACATGCCATTATATTGAAGGGACCAACATATGTACGAATATTACATTATTGATGTGATTTATAGTCTTTTAAAAGCCTCATGTGCCTCCACTCCATCCAAAAATAATAGTGTATATGTATTCATATACACACGTATGATGGTAAAAAAATATTAATGTAAATATATACCCATATCACGAGGTTTTTTTTTTTTTTTGGGTTATCAAATTAATAACTAAAATACTCAAATTCTATTGCACATTTTGGTATAATAACAAAATAATGCGATTGGATTTAAACTAAAAAGAAAAAAAAATATATTTTTAAACAAGGAGAGGCCTTGATATGAAGGATAAAGCAAAAGGTTGAGCCCCAACCTAGAGGGGTTCCTCTAGGTTGGGGTTCACTAAAAAAGTATAAAGCAAGACAAGTTGAGCTGTATAATGTGAGTGGTCCAATTTATTTTTAAAAAAGTTAAATATAGCTCTAAATGATGCGCCGTTGCCATATTCAGATAGCAAAATGATTTAGCCTTGCTTGAGCCTTATTTTTTTGACAAGAATGAATTTTTGAATACTTTATTGATGTGAGATGTATGATTAAAAAATAAAAATAAAAATAAAAATTGAATTTATGTATAACATTATTTTATTGAAGAATGTATTATTGAAATAATGTTAAAATACTGTCTAAAAATGAATTTTTTCAAAGATTGGGAATCAAACGGAGGCATAGCTATTAATGAGTTTACCTAATTTTGTTGCAATATGCCAGCTGAATTTCAGTTATTTTTTCCAGATTGGGCAAAGTTGAGGATGAGAAATATTTCAATGTGATGAACCTATATGTACATGTAATAAGATCACTCATTCAAATCACAACACTTCGAATGTCGAATCAATCGAATCACAACACTTCGAATGCCAAGAGGATAAGAGATTAGACCATCTCAACATTCATCGTGTCGTGATTTGAATGATTTAGAGGTTAATGCATCCTAATTATAAAATATACGATCATATCACATATACATATAGAACAATTCACTAAAGTATTTCCCTAGCACGATTCAGGATAGATATCCTTGTATGTCCACCTTGCACGAACCATGGATTGTACCACTTAAACGTTGATAATATGTCCGAGCACACCCTGTCTGACACCTCTACTGGACCATAGAGTCGATCTATATAACTTGATTGTGTAGAGAAAAAAAACCAACATGAACATACCCGACAGATACCAAAGAGGAATATAAATAAAATTGACAAAATGAGCATATAATCTAACAACATTGTCATGTTTTAACAAAACTGCAGTGTTCTATGTCAACTCTCAGTTGGTCCGGCATATAAAATGGCTCAATTTTAGGAATTGCGCTAACGAAAAATGTAAAAGTTCCTTCCCAATGCTACAACAGTTAGGCAGGTAATTGGAGCTACTCCTCAAATAGATGCGCTCCCTAAGCTGTGTTACAAAAATCATTGCTCATCGTACCGCTGCCTAGAGTTGACTGTTCAAGTATGCTCATTTACTTCTTCTTCTTTGATTTGCTAGATTGAGACTGAGTATACGCAGTTCCCTGAACATTCAGAGGAGACAAGTTCATCACTTTTATCTCTTGAAAATACGGGATCTCAGAGTGACGGCGAATAAAAAATTCATAAATAAAAAAAAAAGAAAAGAAAAGAATGTGTCGACGATGCGTGATATACAAACCTGCAACCACTCATCCATTGAGGCATCGGTAGTCCCGGTTCCAACCTCCACCTTCGATGCCCTCTTTGTTTTCTAATTTTCAAGAGAGAGTGCGAAAACAAAAGGGAGTTAGAACAATAGCTTCAGTCAGTTATAAAAGATCAGTTAGCCAAATGATTGGTGGTGAACCAATTCCTCAGTTTGCTGTTTGACATCTTTTTAATGGGAGACAGGAAAAAGTAAATCCAGAAGGTGATAAGTTGAAAACATCATATTTCCTATTATTTCCCGAGTCTGGCTTGGATCAGCTCTAGAGTTAGAACTCAGACTGGCCACAATTTGACACTTTTAGCGTTAAATCCCACAAACTAGATGTAATGATCATCACTGGTTAATATCCAATGCTAAAGCAGCCCTATATACCACAAAGCATCACTCAGTAATCACTACCAAATTTTGACAGTTTCTGAACTGTTTAGATCTTGCTCAAAAGAAGGTGGATAATAACATAATATTTTAGGAAGAAAAATGCATCATCCGGTACCTCAATATAATATTATATAGGCAGATTGGGTAACAGTATTAGGAAAAAACAAAATATATAAGCATAGGAATATGCAGTTACCTTTGAGAAATTCTTTATCTGGCCACGTATCCAAAATCCAAGAAGACCAAGAAGGGCAATTCCAAGGCAAAACAGGAAAACAGACTCAACACTGAGCAGGCCACCAGCCTCAGTAACTTCAATTGTTCCATTGTAGAAGGTGCTCTGGTATGGATTCTGATCGATCTCGTAAACAATTGTGCCAACCAGATCAAATGCACCAGGCTGCAAGATTAAGAAAAATTGGCCAGTGCATGAAATTTATAGACACACTGCAGCACAAACCTGAATGATGAACTTTAGCAATACAGCATACTTGCCTGTAAAAATTTGCTCACAGCAAATATGTAGGGGAAAGTTGCTTGAGCATAAGGAGGGACTGAAGCGTTGTTAAAAGCCTAGAGAATGGCAATATGCAAATTACTATCAAAAGTCATCTAAGAATCATATTAGATAGCTATGATTCAAAATTCAGCAGGCAATTCACAATCCAGAATTAGTAGATACTATATAGCTTTGAATTATTACCCATTAACAAAATGCTGCAACAGCAATTATTCATTCATTTTGCACATAGATTTAAGACAGTTCTATGCACAAAATTGATGAGCATACAATCACAAGACCAGTACAACTAAATATTGCCCTTTACCAAGAGAACATTTCAAGTATATTTTACATTCAAGAATGAAGGGCACAGGCATAATGCTCAGAAAACTAAACAGAAGATACCTGAGCGGAAAGATTTTGAACTAAATACTGGTGATCAAAGGGAAGATGAACACTGGCCTGGATTGCAATAATATTAACACTTGATTCCCCTGTTTTTAAAAATAAATGCAGCAAGATAAATAATTTATCTATGATCTATCCACATATTTGACAGCATCTAGTACAACAATTATAAACAGCTATGACAGATACATCAAGTAGTAAAAACAGACGTGCATTCAATTACTCAGGCATGTCTTAAAGAGAAATTACAGAACAATATCTACAGAATTTAAAAATGAAAGCTGATATATCATCTGATGGACAAAGAAAGAAAACAACATATCACACAGCCAAGTAACAAATTATTACCTTCATTCTTAATTCCAACCAAAAGTTCACCTTCTTCCCCAGCCACAAACACTGAAAAGAAAATATAATTAGAGCTACATACTTTGAATAGGAAGCTTCGATAAAATGGGGAAAAAAAATAATAATAACAATACAACATCAAGGAGCAACAGAGAAACACTAGCTATGAAGAAGAGTAAAATAGCATAATATTGAACCCTCACATTTAGAAGGGTTTTTGGGGAAAACACAAATTGTTTCTACTCCTGGAGCTGGACTGAAACTACCACCACCAAAATCTTGAATATCCTCTCCAACGATCCCAAGATCTCCTCCGTCAGTTTCAACTACATCTGGATCTGGTTCTGATTCGCTTCTTACAACTATCAAACAAAAGGCAATGCGGATATCAAAGTTTCAGATACAGTATGACAAACCAAATAATTAAGGAAAATCCGCAGGCCAAGGGCTCAGTAATACGTCAATTGGAAAAGGTAACAAGCAACGCAGTCACAAACAACTTGAACTAAACAAATGGCAGATAATTAACCCATTTCGTTGCTTTTGGCACAACGGCTTAGACAAGATAGAAATTTAACATAAAATTACAATAGATCACTATGTAGATGGGATTAGGGTGGATAATGTTATTTGACTTTTATTTAAAAATTTCGTTCACTATATATTTTCTATCTGGTCTTATACTATGTAAATGCTCCGCGTAATGTTACATCGATGATATTGCAAGTGACATTTATTTGAATGAAATAACAGAAACAACATCCACCTTAATCCACACAATTCTATCAACTTAACTCTATTTTTTACATTTTATACTAAATATGGCCTAACCAGGTGAGATTCGACAAAAAGCACCTTATGCTTGGTTTCCATAATATATACATTTTCAAGAATAATCTTTTACTTTCAACATGCAAACCAGACGTATAAAGGGGAAAAAAAAAATTATTTTTTTCTCTTCACAGATTTCAGAAAGTAAAATTCCTGCTCTGGAATCTAATTTACATAACAAAACAGTGAAACAGAATTCAAAAACGATCCATTCAACAAATACAATTCAAATACATAGATAATAAAATAGAATCAAGATCTGACAAATGTAACAACTTAATATCAAAACAACATAAAAAAATCAAGTTCGAATCAAAATTGTTCCATGCGTGAGGATGCAAATTGACATGAATCAGCATTACATAGATAATAAAAAGACCCAAATTTCAAGCAGCGCTGAGAGGGTTGAAATGAAACGAATCAGATCTACGATAGCCGTACCTTGTAGACACGACGAAGTGAAAATCAGAAGAACGAGAATCGAGAAAACCCTAAACTTCATTTTTCCTTTCTCGACCATTTTCGTGCGTGTGGGAGAGAGAAGATGGGGAATTTGTTTCTGGAACAGAGACGAATTTAATGCGTGGACTAAGCAACGTAAGTAGTTAATTTGTGCAAAAATAAAGATTTGGGTTGGGTAGAAAATAGAGTTTTAAAGATTAGGGATTGTATATGATACATATTAAAAAAAATTAAATTCAGCTTTGTAAAATAAATAAAAAGTTTAGTTACTGAAATTGTAATTATTCATTTTTAATTCTGACATTTTTTATTATTTTTAATGACAAATCTGAAGAATTTTGACGGTAGGGATTTTTCGGACAAAATATTTTAAACAATGGGTTTTTTACGATTTCCAATAGATAGATGATATATTGCACATGTAACTGTTTCTAGTGTTTGATTCAAGGGCAATATAAACTCATTTTGAGATCAATTCGACCTCACATTTATTTTTTACGAGCTGAGTGAGGCCCACAAGTCGACTCATTTGGGCTCTTTTGTACGAGCAAATGAGCTCTTACTGAGGCTCAGAGCTCGACTCATTTTTTCAAACTTGTTTTATTAATCTATCAACCTAAGGATCATTTTTAATTTTTTATTAATTATTCTAAAATAATAATTAAAAAAAGATTTGACTAGACTCATTTGAGCTCATGGATAGTTGGACTCGCGAGCTCTTGCACCAAAGAGTCGAGCCTATCATAAAATTTAGACACGAATCGAATTCGAATGTCCATGAACAAAGTTGGTGTGGCTCAACCGATTGTTACCTTAAGTGCTTTTTTGATAAACTTCGTTAAATTTTTATCCATTTTTCAACTGATCAATGTTTAATTTTAACTACACATACTTTTATCAACTTCTCAACATTTCATTATTATCAAAAATTTTGTCAAACAACACATAAATTTACTTTTCTTTTTAAAACGATTTCTTCTCCTTAGACGAGATATAAATTTGAATTTAATGAAATCATAGTGAAGAAAGAAACCGAGAAATAAAGAAAAATGTCAATTTAATTAGAGGAATAGATTACGAGACGGGCTAAGTTGGTCGAGCGCACCTATTACTTTGACTAAAATTTATTTTTGATAAATATAAAAGTATGCATTTTACAAAACTAGGAAAAATGCCATGCTTCATCTTTGAACATACAATGACATTGACATTCATACAAAAAACTTGCGTGCTTTCCCTACGCGAGTCGGTAGTGTTATCTGCCATCCTAGATTCATTCACAGCCATCACACAACAAATAGCAAGACCAGTGGCACCATCATTAGAACCCACCTCCGATTATTCTAAGGGCCTCGACTATCCCGTTAGATTTCAACAAATTCTACTGAGTTGCGGAAGTGTCAGAGAGAGTGCATCAACCTTTTCCTTCAAATTGGAAATGAAGTTTGTAACCATGTTGCAAACTGGTCGGAGTGCTTCTGCAAGGACCATCTATAGAACCCCACAGAAGGGGAAAAAATGAAGAAAAGAAAAATGATATCAGTATAAAGGAAAGGTCTGTTGTCAATTGGATATCAAAAGGAACATAAAGATAAAAGAATTAACTATACCCAAACTGAAAAAAAAAAAGATCTGTAGATGCAAAGAATAAAAAAGACCAATCAAACCCTACTTACATGAAGCATGATCTTCCTGGGATTTGCTTCTGTTAGAAAAATAGAGTGATGAATTTAAAACCGAAACAAACTTACAATCTTACCGAAATTGAACAAAATAATTAAGAAAAGTATACCAATAAAGATAACGCCAAATGAGATTGATGCAAAAGCTGAGGCCTAATCTCTAGCAATAAAATAATAATGAAGTAACGAAATTCAGATACTCCATCCATCCCATAATTTGAACTTGATTTCAAATGACAGACAGTTGCATCTAGTGTTATGACATAGACATTTGCATTGTACTTTACCCCAACATGAATGCAAATCTCAGACATGTAAGAAGATAATGTAGGTTTTCCTTGCAATTGTTTAGTGTCGTCTGTGTAGATATAGTGAAAAAGAAAGGGAAAATAGTTTTGACCTTGGAATATAAACAATCGCAAGATCTGAACATAGTTTCTCTTTTATCTTTCCTTATTTCCACTGCCTTTACATTGTAATTTTTCCATTCCCTCTACAAACTCGAGAAGATCTTTAACCTAACATCTGAACATAATATTACCTTATTCGGAAACATTGAAACTTAAATTTGAAGTCTTAATAATGGGGTTCATTATGAGGACCTAACTCCCCACTACTTCACCCATGAACATTTATGTGGGTAATGTTTGATAAGTGCATTTTGTGCACTTATTTGGACCATATTATTATGTTTTTATGTCACGAAAGTGTTAATTGTTACTTAACTCGAGTAATGTTTCGTTTATTTCAGTGATGGACCGATTCCTAAGCAATTGGAAAAGAAAAAAGGGGGAAATCCAAAGTATGAAGACTAAATTGTAATATTTTAATAGTTGATTCAGATCACAAAATGAAGATTAAAAATGTTTCGGGTTCAATTGGATGCAATTAAAAGTCAAAGGGTTGAAAATGCAAGGGAAATGGCTTGAAATGATAAAAAATCGACTCCAAGGACTAAAATATAACATATGGAAGAATGTTTGCTTCAGAAACAGCCCAGTTATAAATACCGGGCGATCACCCCAACATGATTTTTTAATTACAGAGAAAAAATTCTTGGTTTGAGTGACTGTCCGAGTTTTGCCTGGTCAACAACCCAAGCCAATCGTGACGAGAAAATCTGGTTTTCTTTTCTGAATGAAATTCTTATAGAAATAAATCTTGAGGAGTGTTTTAAAGTCCTAGGGACGTCCAAAAATATACACCGCACATTATATATATTTTGGGAGGATTTGAAGAGAAAGAAGAAGGAAGAACAAGAAGATTCAATCCAAGTTCAAGGTCTCACTTCAAAAATTTAATAGGGTGATATCTTTTCTTGATTTTTATTGTTGTATTCTTCTTCCCATCATGTTAGGCTAGAAAAATCTATACTAGAAGATCGATGAACCTTGTAATGTGATATTTAATTCTTTGTTCCATATTTTTGATATTAAAACACGTATTGATTGTTTTGAATGATTTATATGCATTTAATTGCTTTCATGATTATGTATCCATAATTGTGTGAGTTTTGGTGGTTTGATTAATCTATTTGAAAGAAGAGGAATAAATTCGACAAGGTATAAATCATCGTAGAGTCCAATAGGGGATAAAAATATACCATTATAGCTTGCATGGATCTCTAAGTACTCACAAAATTACATGCATTCTCGCCTATTTACATCCATCATAGAGATATAGGCTGATGGTGTATGAGAATGGTTCAATTCATCTCGAGAGAGAGTGTTGGATAGATTTAGGAGTATTGATTCTTCAAAATGTCATCGTGTTGTCAAAGTGTGGAATTAAGGTTAAATTGAACATTACTTGAGAATTCGTGATCCTAGTATATCTCACATTTATTGAATACATTTAACATGAGTCCCAAATGTCAAACTGTATTTTAGTTAAATTAAACGTTGTCTTGCATAGCATACCATCCAATTCATAATATTGGTACTTTAGCTTAGATTTAGGATTTCTTAGGATAAAAACTCATAATTGATCATTTAGATTTGGTTAAGGTCGAAATAAATACAATTGAACTACTCAATCTCTGTGGGAAGATATTCGAATTCTAAAAATTCACTTTATTACTTGTTAATGAACCGTACACTTGCGGTGATTTAAATTAAAAGAAAATATTTCGTGAGCAAATTTTGGCCCCATTACCGAGGATTGAGTTTAGTTTGATCTTATTTTTCTAGGCACTAATTCGAACTTGAATTTTAGTTTCTCTTTTCATTTATTTTGTCTTTTTTTGTTTTTGAATTCAATCTATCTCTTTAGTGTCTAAGTGATACTCTTGTTTTTCTCTCATATTTGTATGCTAAGATCCGTTGGAGGAGAATTGATTCTAGCAGATCCTGAAATTGAGCACACTTTTCATCGACTACAAAGAGAGAACCGGAAAGCAAAATTGCAAATGGCTAACGAACTGAACAATCATATTATCCCAGCTAATGAAGGGGAAGCAGTGAACGAAGGAAATGAGATTTTGTCGACTTCTTAACTCCTCAAGTGATTCAAAGCCAGTCTAGCATTGTGTATCCACTGTTCGGGCAACCCAATTTTCAATTGAAGACTAATATGATACAACTGTTCAAGAATGGGCATCAATATTATGGCAGAGTCGAAGAAAATCAACATACACACATATCTCGATTCTTGGATATGTGTTAACACTTCAGATATCAAGGAATCTCTGACGATGCTATTAGGCTAAGACTTTTTCTACACACCTTGCGGAACAAGGCACTTGAATGGTTGGATTCGCTTCCTATTGCAAGCATCACTACTTGGAACGACCTGACTCACAAATTCTGGAAGTACTTCTCACCAGCCAAGATAGCTAAAATGAGACATGAAATATCCATTTTCAGCCAGGGATAATCAGAATCATTTGACGAAGCCTGGAACATATTCAAGAATATGCTCCGGAAGTACCCTCAACATGGGTATGACAAAAGGACCCAAATTCGATTTTTCTATACAAGGTTACTCCTATACCACAAAAGTATGGTGGACTCAGCATCAGATGGTTCAATATCCACAGAGAATGGCAACTACTTTAGCAATGTGGGCATCTGAGCGAGTGACTCAGAAGAAATCTCCGCGTGTTTATGAGGTCAATACTTATTCAGCCATATCTGTGAAAATTGAATCATTGTTTTATAAGGTAGAAAGCATATCACAAACAGCACAAAATAAGAAGATTAGCTGTGAAGAATGTAGAGCTGAGCATAAAACATCAGAGTATCCAATTTTAATGCAAGGAGTTGAGCATGCAGATTTTGCACAATGGGGCAACGCCAATAGAACAATCAATATGGAGAAACATACAATAATAGTTGGAAGAAGCATCCCAATTTCTCTTGGAGCAACCAGAATCAGAATAGGCCACAGGGTTAGTTTCAACAGTAAGAGAAGAAGCCTCAATTGGAAGACATCTTCGAAAAATTCACTGAGAGGACCAA